CAGAGGGTATTTTCAAATGGTTGAAAGCAAATTTCTCATGGTTAGGCATCAAACTTTCTAAAAAGTATGCCACGCAGAGTAGTAGATTGGATCTACCAAGCTTTTGACCAGCAACTTATCAGAATGGGAAAGTATGTCCGTATTTTTAATTGTAACCCTAAATAGCTGTGACACGATGTAGTGTTTGGTCTGACTTGAGCCGGTTTTTCTCACTCGATCGCCCAGTTCAGTTCTGCACATTGATTCTCTCGTTCGATCGCACCCAATCAGAAAGAAGTGATTGGCATCGATCTCTCCTCGTCTGCGCGTGCGTGCGTGCATGTGTGTGCGTGCGTGTGTTTGTTAGCACGACTGTGTTGACGCATGTTTTCGTGGGTGAGTGTGTGTGTTTGTATACATATATCAGCATACGAATGAATATTGCAATGCATATGAGTGAGGACATAAATCGGTCGATCTCGGAGTATCACACATGGCACCGGGTATTTATCAGTGTGAATTGAAAACAAAACAAATTCTGTTTTAATTTCCTTTTATCCACCAAACTTGCTTCCGATTGGCTCATGTTGATACTCATGAGGGGCTGACAAAAACAGACTAGCGGACTGTCAAGTTGTATTTCAATCTGACCCAGATCTAATTTCACTTGCCAAGGAATTGGAGACTAATCATATATGGAAGTGGTTGGTTTTGCTTTAGATGTGGAAGTNGTGGAAGTCGGAGCATTCTCTGATCCACGTGATGGATTGAAACCGGTTTTCAAACGACTGCGTGTGTCTGTGCGGCGCGGCGCGGGGGTGGGGGAGTGGTAGAAGTAAAATTTCATGATTCCTGATCGCACATACACGCGCACGCACCATCGACTTAATGAATTCACTTCATACCGCTCAAACAAGTCACAAGCTAGATCAGCTGTTTTTCGAAGATCGTTTAATGTGGATTGTGCAACGGATGGTTTTGTGTTATCTCGTTTGACTTTATTTTGGTCAAAATAATAATTTCTTGATCAGATACAGGAAAAAAACATACAAAATATAGGAAAGTTTCCCTATAGTCATTTGATCTGGACTTGGTATTCATTATAGGGATGTTCGTTGAATTTCGCACAAAGCGAACATTTTCTGATCACGTTGGAGTACGGTTTGGGAGTGATTGCTGACCACACGGACGACCGATTTTCAATTCGCTCGACGTATGACTGGTCACCCGCCAACTTCCCGTTAAGATGCATTGATATATCCAGATTCATAAGTGTCTCTCTTCGTATACCCCACGTTCTGCAATGTAAAACAATCAAAACAATCAGGTGACTGTGTGTTTTAGTTTTACTTATCGCTCGTGTAAACCATTCCAAGTTCAAAAGTACGGTTTAAAACTTTGACACTACAAAAGACTTTAATAAGAGGATCCTTGATCAGGTGAGGATGAGATAAAAATCTGATCCACTGAGGTTTGGTTTTTTTGTAGATATTGATAATTTACTGTTATTTTTAGAAATAAGCTCAATTCATTTCGATTCGTACAACTATCAATCAGGCATATATATATATATATGTAATCAGATTGTAATTGTTGTTTTTGGTAGTATATACAGACCACAATAGGAATCTGTGCAAGTCTGAAACAGTGTGCGTATGATTCAGATAAACCGTAGGATGAATCAGATCGTGTAATAGCTGAGCAGATGCGTGAGCACCACTGTGTAAAAGTATTCCTTGATTTCCCCTGTGTCTCTAGGTGTTGATCGGGTCAATTCCAAGATAACTTAGCGTAACACGAGTAATCTAACTTCCTTATCAAGCTCTTCGTATCTGTACTACAATCTGACCATCTTTAAGCTCTTTGCATTCTCTGACCACCTCAGCATACTTCAACCTCATGACAGATACTTGCATTGGTTGACCACCACAAATATCTTTCGATTATTTCGTCGTATTTCTCCATCCGACTGAGGCACATAATTAAGTTCCATTATGACCTTGACTTTGTATCCTACATCACGATGAACCGGGCTATAATAGCAGGAACCCAACCTCTCTTGAAGTGATACAAACACCAGAAGAAGAACAGGTATATTCGTGTCAACATCTTATCCTAGATTCGCTAGCAAAGAGTGAGCTAGCTGCTTAGTTGACAGAATTTACCCCCTATCTCTATCATTCGACTCGGTACCAGGTAGGAGCGGACTGTGGAATGGTACATAAGCAATTCTGCAAACTGCATGAAAACCATTACGCTGCAAACTGTGTCAAGCATCCATGCAAAACTAATCAAATGTTTTGGGGAAAACAGGCTGTCAACGCGACGCGACGCGATGTGGATGATGATGTGACGCAACTTACCAATTTGTTCCAGCAATCCAGCGGCATGCGGTGCCGAAAGTTCGGCTGTGGCCTGATAGAAGTGCATGTGACTTATCAGGGCGAATAAATGACTGGCAGTTAAGGAATGCTGAACAGGAAATCGACGAATATCCCCATTTGTTTTGAGGACTACCAAAAGGGAACGTTTCTGTCCGTAACAAGTTGATCAGTTGAAGCGTACGGGTGCGATTCCAAGGTGTGTCATCGAAAGAGAAAAGATTGAGCAAATTGTTTTGGGACTATTATGAAGACAGTAAGAATCAATGTACATGTTGCAACACAACGTGCCAATCGGGCATCATCTGTCGGAATTATCTTTTCAAACGATGGATAGAACAAGGTATTGTAAACATCCATGCACAAAACATGGCGATAATTTGAACTTTTCGCTTTTTCGTTTGTTCAATAATTTGGGTCATTCACTATCTAACCGAGTCATCCGGATCTGGGATGAAATCTTGGGTGCTAGTGTAATAGCATTACATCGGCATCGCGAAGGATATCACATGGACACATGGTTCTCTAACTGGCTTACTCCTCTCTCATGGAATACCGAATTTCACAATCGAAGGGAAGCTCGATAGGTAATACAAAATATCGGGTCCAGTTAGGCTGTCAAATTTGAGCTCCAACAACGACCCCCTCCCCGAGGCAAATTTGATGATAGTGATCACTAAATCTGAACAAATACCAGTTCAGTTCAGTTTGTACAACCGTTAACCATGCATTATCGTAGGCCGGTTTTAGTTGCTGTTTTTTGGCTGCCCATTTGGATGTACATTAGGAGAAAGACAGGAAAGGTTGAAATTGGAATCGAAAAGAGAATTTAGAATTTCAGTGGATCAATGTTGCAGAGGAATTGAGAAGATGCACGAACGCCACTGTTTACGACGCTCAGCCACTACCACTACCGCGGATACAGAGACGTTAGCTATCAAAATGCCCCGCACGACGAACAGGTCTATATGAAACTGGCCAGGCAGCGAGATACTGGTATTATTTTCCCACTCGATTTTGAAATGCATGTTTTCGAATGGAAACAGATGGATTTCTGACTGTTTATACTGACAATAGTGTATCGGGAGCTAGCGGTGTTGATTGCAGCTCTTGTAGTAAGGTCTTGAGGCAACTATTGATTAAAAGTGTTCAATGAGTTAAAATCTGACCAGGGGTTGAACGTGGAGTGTATTACCCCATAATGACCAGTTAGCCGAAAAACAGTTTATTTTCAGCGTGAACAAACCGGTTGAAACAACGAATTACTTGATCCTCTCTTGAAAGTTCAGCATTAACCCGTCCAACGTTGTGTTTCTTCGCACATTTCGCATTTTATTGTTCACGTGTTCAGATTATCCGAATAGTTCGGAAGGCTGTCTTGTGAATTAATTCTGAGGCAGCTTTCTATTCTCTTTGAGATGCTTATATAAAAATTCTTCCTGGACAGTTCATCCATAAACTTAAATCTCATACGGTATTGTGTTATTCAGCCATTAACCTAGTGACGTTTGAAATCCTACTGATTGGGATCAGGATTTGTTGCAATTAGCCTAATTGGGAAGCTGCATTTTCGGACATTACGGTGCGCTAATCCTCTCGCATCTGTTGTATTTCCTTTTACTTGTATGAAAATAGACAACGTTTCCACTTGATCAGAGTTTTACAAGAAATTCATTCCGAATAACAGTTAAATTTTCCTTTTTATAACAAATTGAACATTTTTGGTCAAAGTTTAACAATGACCTTGAAAGCATAACTTGACGTCATGAGATTGGCTAATTGGAGTTCAGAGAACTGTCACTTTCGCAAATTCATTCGTGACGGTGCCCATCAATTACTTCATGGGCACCCCAATATTATTATTGTTATTATTATTTATGCAATTATCTCATACATCAACTCACACCAAACTTAAATCCTGATTGGTGGTATACCTACGGGTAATTGCACTGGCTTAACCTCTATAAGCAGGCTGTAATATTCTCACACAAAACAATATGCATATGAAGAAAAACATGAAATTCCCACCACATCCCAGTATGTTTGATCGGAAGATACCCGATATTCACCGTATGAAAAAAACAATTAAATATATCCTCCGATACAGATCTCTGGTGGGATATTTCACCTAACCGTATCTTATTAATGTGGGGTGCGGATATGGCTGAATCACATTTTAATTTTATGGGGAGGGGGTTAGAGATTGAGATCATTCACCCGGAATATTGATATTCTCTTTGTTTTTTTTGCTTCATTGCTTGTAAGAACTTCTTAGCTGACTCAGCGTATCCAGGCAGGGTACAGAGAATAACAAGTTTGCACCGGGTTCCTTTTATTCAGAAGTATGTTATTAAGCTTTCGTATATGTATCAATGATTTTTTACATTCAATCGGAGAAACATTTAATGTCAAAACAGAGCAACAACCGTTATTTAGGACTGCTCTATAGATTCTGCCGAATGAACTGTGAGAATAGACGATGGATACCTCAATCAGACTGGAAAGACAGTATATCAATTTTTCTACAAATAAAATGTAAGTTTTTCGTAACGATTTGCTTTAGAATGTGAATCACGAAGAACATCGCTTTTGAAGCAAATAAATCCATAATTATGAGAGTTCAGAGGCAAAAATATAAAATCACTTTTTACTGTGGCTAGATAATTTACTTGCCTTATGCGCGATTCGTTCAATTTCCTTCCAACGAATTGGCACAGTCGGGCGAATCCATCCGTCTGCTTCTTGCTGTAATGTGAACAGCGTCAAGTGGAAATGAATCGTTGCGTCAATATTTGCACAATTTCCTTGTGAGTTGCTGGTAACATATAATTCAGTTCAATACAATTCAATTCAATTCTACACGTAAACAATGAAGCAAATAGTGCATTTAAAATTTAAAATTTTGAAACAAAGAAACACTTCCTAAATCGCGAGAGTCTATTCATACAAAAATCAATTTTGGATGTTAAACTATCGATCGGAGCTGATAGTAATAGAAAATAACAATCTGAGTTTGTCCTCCTTTGTCAGTTATCTTTTGATGGTTGACCTTGTCAATATGAGAGACACAGCATCAAAAAAAGGTTCATCTTATTGAAATGGCAAAAAACACAATACTGCAT